GCCTGCGGACTGAAAGGTCCCAGGTTCGATTCCGGTCAAGGGCATGTACCTGGGTTGCGGGCACATCCCCAGTAGGAGATGTGTAGGAGGCAGCTGATCGATGTTTCTCTCTCATCGATGTTTCTAACTCTCTATCTCTCTCCCTTCTTCTCTGTAAAAAATCAATAAAATATATTTTTTTAAAAAACTTTAAAAAATAAAAAATAAATAAAATAAAAATAAGTTCTTATTTTTAAAAAATCACCATATTGTCAGGTGGTGAAGGCCTGGGGAGGAGGGTTAGAAGGGGCCAGTGGGAGAAAAAGGGGATATATGTAATACTTTCAATAATAAAAGAATTTTTAATTTAAAAATAAATAACAAGATCCACTATAGCATTCCCTTTGCAATGACTCTAGAAGAGTTAGTATGATACACTAGAGAAAGTCTGGTCATAGACAACTAAAATTCATCCACTTGAAATGGTGTGACATTTACTCAATAAATGTATTGTGCTGTGTATGCAGAACTAGTAATTAAAAGAAGTTTTCTCTTCAAACATCTCACATTTTTATCTATAAAATTTTCCAACGGCTTGAGTAAAGCTGTTTATCAATAGAAAACATGTATGTTCCTGGCCAGGTAGCTCAGTTGATTAGTGTTTTCCCAACATGCCAAGGTTGTGGGTTCAACCAGCAGTCAGGGCTATACAAGAATCAACCAATGAATGCATAAATAAGTGGAACAACAAATTGATGTTTCTTCTCTCTCTCTCTCTCTCTCTCTCTCTCTCTCTCTCTCTCTCTCTCATCCTTTCTCTCTCTAAAAATGAATAAATAAATAAATAAATAAAAAGAAAAAATATATATTTGTGTAAGTCAATATTCTGAATTAATATTGGTAATTCCCAACTTTCAAATATAGGATTTCTTTTACTTCTAAAAATTTACTGAGTTCATATTCTAGTTTAATGTTAGTTGCTCAGATTACAAGCATTTTAAATATTTTGTCGTTTTTCGAGAAATACCTTTTTTCTGTTTTTTCTGTTCAACTTATTCTTCTCTCTCCCTTTTTTCAATTCATCTCATTCTAGTATTGGAACTATCAGGTTTCAGTTCCAAAAATACCATAAACATTTTAAGTATAATTTCCTTCTAATTGTACATGCAATTATAGTCTTGGTTTATAAATGGTCAGCCATCCAAGGTACAGAAATTGATAGGCTAATTAAATATTTTCCCTCTGCATGATCCAGAATGCCGGATTTCCAGCAAAATATCTGAAACCTCACTCCCCAAAGCCCTGTCTCCTTTACAAAACTAACTCTAAATTTTGTGCTCTATTATTGCAGCATCCCAATTCCAAGAAAAAAATTCTGTGTCAGAATTTGAATCAATTATAGCTCTAATTTTTATAATAATAATTTTTAAAACATTGGCTTAAACAAAACCGAAATACATTTTTCTCTTACATAAGAAGTATGGAGGGGAGCAGTTCAGGGATCTAGACGTTCTTTTTCTGATCCATAATCCATAAGATCATCTCAAGACCCAAGATAGCTGCTGAACTCTTACCATCAGACCCATATTCCAGTCATCAAGGAGGGCACACACTGGCTCCTCTTGGTTGAATTAGTTCTTTTAAGAAAACTCTTTCAGAATTTCCATCCAAAGCTTTCACTTATGTCACAAGCCACATGGCACCAAAGAAGTCCAAAAATTTGCCTTTAATTTAGAGAGAAACATTCCTATAAATGTAAGGTTCTGTGACCAAGGAAGAAAGAACAACATTGGAAAGCAAAGGGCAGTCCCTGCCACTAAGATCATTATGATTTTCTTTATAATAGTAGAATAATGGAAACAATCTAAATGACTTAAAGAATAAACAGTTAAATAAAATGTAGTATGTTCACATGTTAAATACACTCTTGGTGTTTAAAATATTCATGTAGATTACTATTCATTGACATAGAAAATTATTCATGATACATATCTGAGAAGGGAAAAAACAACTCAACATCGATCATGTAATCACATATGTAAAATCACATCTGAAAATATTTCTTTTAATGTTAACAATGGTTAGATAACCAGTGTGGTTAGTACTTTTTTGTGTAATTTCACTTTGTTCTTTATACTTTTCTACGCTTTGAACTTTTTACAAGGACTATGCAATGATCATACATATGATTACTGTGGGAATAAAAAGACACTGAATGGAACTGTTACAAGATTCCGGGTCAGGAGAAATTGGGGAACTGAGATAGGAAAGTTAAAACAAGGCCAAAGAGTGTGGGCAATTTGCAGCCAGCTTGTAACTAACAAGACACTTGAGAGCAAATGGTTAAAAACCTCCCTAATGAAAGAATACAGAAAGGGGGAGAGGAAGGGGGAAGGAAAAATAAGAAGGGGAAGTTTTACTCCCTAAGCAGAGAAGCCAGCAGTCTCAGGCTTGGCAAGATAAAGTTGGCAGGTGCTTCTCATGAATTCTGGGAAGGTCACAACAAAGTAAAAAAAAAAAAAAAAACACAAAAAAACTTTGAGACTTAATCTATACCAAAATATTCAGCAGAGGAATTTTGAAACCTATAGGCAAGAGGGTATATAATGCCTCAAACCCTCACCCAATATGCTCTTCAGATTAGCTGGGAGCCCGTATGCTCTTCATAAGCCAGATGTATAGGTTTGCTTACTTGCTCTGCTTTTTCAATAAAGGTGCATGCTTTAATTGCTTTGATAAATTGGCTTTTCACAAGGCAGTCAAGGTCTCTCCTATAAATTCATTTGTATGAGAAGACAAGGATCGAGGCTGGGGACAGCCCTCTCCCAGTGACTCAGAGGGCTGTCCTGTTAACACCTCTCTGGTGACGGTGAGAGGTGCCTCTATCAAAACCATCTTCATTAATCAAAAAAGTCACTGCAAAACTTCCTATTTGCACATAGTCTTCAGCCAGTGGGGTTTCTAGGCTCCCTGTGATACCCATTTCATACTGAAAATATTAAACTGCGCTGAATATCAATTTGTAAGTAACATGGCGATCACAAACAATAATGAGGACTGTTTGTCAAAATCCTTATTTGCTTTCTTGTCTTAGACTTCTAACTTTTGCAAATCTGAGTTTTGTACCAACTCTACTCCTTTTCTATGAGTGTTTAGTATGGTATTCAGTAGAAAAGAAACAGGGATTTTATTATACCTTCTTATGTTTGTGTAAGTGTTAATGGCAGTAACTAATCTTTCAGGTAGTCATTACCCCTTTTTTCATTCTGTCAGATACAATCATATGTGAGATTTTGTCACTGAGGGGTATAGGATATTTGAAATACACCTGCCTTTCCTATGTGTGGAAAGTAAGCCTTTTGCATTGTTCCCTGTGTCTCTGAACTGGGTAGAATAATGACTCTTTTACTTACTTAAAAGAGCATTGTGAAGGTAAGATAAGATCATTATAGGAAATGTTTTGCAAAGTTAAAAGTAGCATTTATTATATTGGGACAGGCTGGCTTATCTTAGAATCAAGGGGCTTATGCAACGTTAAGCATAAGCTGTCTTCTGCAGTACTGCCCACAACACCTGCAGCCAACATAGCCAAGCAGGTTGCGTGCTACTTCAAAGGGAGCAACAAATTGAGAACAGCAGGTGTTACAAGAATAGGGACTAAATCACTAATCCAGAAAGCCGTCGTGAAAAAGCAGCCGTAATTTCTTGCAGCACCTTCCTGGTAAACCTTAATTTATTGTGTAAATTGTATTGTGTTAAAGGATTATAAAAAATAGATTAGCCATAATTTTCTTAAAATATCGCTTTGCAAGAAGCTCACTAATTCCAAATAGCTGAGAACTAAGTATTTTAAACTCCTCGTGAAAGAAAAAAATTCCAACAATTAAGGACAAATATCTCTTTTTTATTGAAAGCAAAAACACAGCCTGCTTATCAAAGTGGTCACTCTGAAAGCGCACACACACACACACACACACACACACACTCACACACACACACACACTACCATATAATCTCCTTTGAAATGACATCTGGCGAATCTCCATTTTCACAGGTGGACAGAACTGGGGCAGAGCGCTCTGAGGCTGCCATTAGTGGCAGTGGGATTTCCCCTGAATTTAGTTGAATTAAGCAGTGCCTGGGGGACCTTAGGGGCTCCTCCGGATTGGGTCTCCTGTTCAGCACCTGGAGAAGCTTACATTGCCTTGGTAACCAAGCCTAAGCCCTTTCTGAACATTGAAAAGGGTGATTGATGCTTATTGATTTACAATCGTTTGGGTGAATTGTGGTTTCTCTCACCATGTTGCTGAGTTTTTCGCTTTTCTTTTTCTACTAAAGGGATTTGTGAGGTACCTACAGTCGTGCATTCTTTATAACCCCCTATGTATATACAGAGTTGTTTCCCAAAGTGTTAAGTTTTCTGTATGTTCCCCAGCCCCTGTTGTGAGCTTTGGAGGAGAGCCTTTGCACCTGTGGGGGTGATGCGAGTGGCAACCCCACAGACAGACCAACCACGAACACTTTCTTTTTTAAAAAATATTTTTTTTATTGATTTTTTACAGAGAGGAGGGGAGAGGGATAGAGAGTTAGAAACATCGATGAGAGAGAAACATCAGTCAGTTGCCTCCTGCACGCCCCCCACTGGGGATGTGCCCGCAACCAAGGTACATGCCCCGGACTGGAATCGAACCCGGGACCCCTGAGTCCGCAGGCCGACGCTCTATCCACTGAGCCAAACCAGTCAGGGCCAAACACTTTCTTAATAATCAGATGCCTGGGCACGGCACTGGGCTTCAATCACTATTACATTCAATCACAATCGCAAGTAACTTCTTACGCCTTAAAGTTTCCATCTCTCAAATGTTTTTGGCTTTAAATATGTCACCAGGATATTTACCTGGCACTTGCTTACACATTTTAGAGAAAATTTTACCTGTGTGATATTTTTGCTGAAAGCAACATTGTGCTTTGTTGTTATTGTTGTAATAACTACTGACATTTGTTTTCTTCCTTGCTTCCAGCTGTGTGAGTACTGTGTCGTATATGGATGAACCTAGCCAGCATGATGTTGCCTCTCGCCTTACAGTTCAGATGGGAAACACCTATCAGCTGGGTGTGTTATTTTATCACTCTCTTCTATGTTAAACTTCTAATTTTGTGAGTGATATTTACTTAAACTAATATTTGATAACCCGGCATTATCTTCAATGCTAGTACAATAGAAGGGATCTTAACTGCGTGATTTGATGCTGCTCTAATTTCTTTCCTTTTCTTTCCTCTTTTCTCGTTTCTTTTCTTTTTTCTCTCTTCTCTTCTCTTCTCTTCTCTCTCTCTCTTCTCTTCTCTTCTCTTCTCTTCTCTTCTCTTCTCTCCTCTCCTCTCCTCTCCTCTCCCTCCTCTCCTCCTCCCCTCCCTCCCTCCCCTCCCCTCCCCTCCCCTCCCCTCCCCTCCCCTCCCCTCCCCTCCCCTCCCCTCCCCTCCCCTCCTCTCCTCTCCTCTCCTCTCCTCTCCTCTCCTCTTCTCTGAGTGTCATCACCCCATACTTTAATTGCTTACAAAGAGTTCTCCACAGCTCCATCTCTGCACTACAAAGGCTGCAGTTCTTCATGGGGGGGGGGGGCGGGGGGGTAGGGGGGCAGGGTTTCTCCCTGGGGAGCAGTATGGCTCCATGTAGATAGCTGGACAGAGGGCTACTTGGCAAGACATGGGGACAAGCTTTTCCTAACAAGGAATCTCAGGGAATGCCCCCTCACTCCAAGGGGCTGAGCCTAGCAGGCTCCTCAAACCCCAGTGATTCACAGCTGATTAAGGCTTCATGAGTCCTGATCAGCTCCCCTCCCCTCCACGGGAAGAGGTAGGACGGGGGCAATGGAGATGAATGGGATTGGTGGGAGGCTCATCTTAAAGAAATCTGGGATTTTGAAGGGTCACCTGTGTGGAGACAGGTCAGAACTTGATCCCTTCACCCCATCTGGGAGTCTGCTTGTGCTCATGCGGAACCGCTTGCCGACCCTTATGGAGGGTCTACTTTTCTCTATCAGTGGTTGCTAAACACCAAGCAGTTCACTGGGCAGCACTGATGAATGTTGTGTCTTACTGAAGAAAGAAGTCCACTGAGTATTTGGGGGGATTATCTTGTGGCGTTATTTTATATCTACTTGAAATAAAATATGAAATAAAAGAGCTATGCATTAAAGTTTTATCAAACAAAACCAACCAATGCTGTTGATAGGTGGAGAAAAAAGCCTTGAAGGCAAAGGCTAATAATTCTGGGTCCCCTGTTGACAGAGGTGTTTATCCCTTCACACTGAGGTTTTAGATCTTTGAAAACAAAGAACTTTGCACCTGCCCCTAAACTCCCAGTGGAGTCCACAGTGAATATCTTTTCCCATTCATGTTTCCTTATAGACCTACTTGTTTTCTCTCAGTGCCTGCCTGCCCACTATTATCTGAATCCATATATAATTACTGCTATATACAAATTCCGCAGAGACTTACCAGTGACCAAAGAAAGACCCCATGGGCTGGAGCAGTTCCATCTGTGCCAGTTAACCTCGGGAAAATTACAGACCATCCACGCATCCTATTAAGCCTTGGAGACGGGTTTCTCCAGTAATCCCCAAGACTACGTGGATTACAAGGCTCCATAATTAGTCAGTCTACTGGTATTTTCATAATGCTGTGGTAGACAACGAATATTCCTGCCATCCAATGCATCTTTATACTTCTTCTCAGAACCTTACCCAGTTTTGCGGGGGGGGGGGGGGGGGGGGAGGGAAGCATCATTACTACTTTGGGTCCCTAACATTCTGGTGAAGCTGATCCTAGCCTCAGAGATGTACTAGTGACTGATTCTGGGATGGCATAGACCCTCCGATTGGTCAAATCAATCAAAGCCTTGATATTCAATTCAGAAAAATGTTTGGCTGTTGAAGAAGCAGATCGGGCCCTGAAACCTGAAAGAATGTAGGGGCTATGGCAGCTTTTGCTCTCCTGCCCTCACATGAAGCCTAAGAAGAGAGAATTACATCCCAACATCATCATTTGAATCCTAAGTCCAAAGTACTCTTGGGATTTTAGCAAGGCAAGCTAAGTTTGAGTTAGGTTTTCACCCACTAGTAGCTAAAAGATCTTTGCCATTCCGTGCCTATGATTTGGGGTTCTGCATACTGAAAGGGTTTGAGTCCAATTTCAACAAGATAAAGGAGCTGAAATATGAAGCCCTGTGTTTCTTCTTCCTGGGATATATTATTTTCATGACTTATTTCTTCAAATAAACGGGCTAAATTGTCTTATCAGTTTTAGAAGTACTGGATGTTGAACCAAGTTAGAAAAGTAGCCTAATATATGGTAATAAAAGATGATTTTACTTTGGTTGGTGGGCACACAGTGCAATATACAGATCTTGTAACATAGAAATCCACACCTGAAATTTACGTCACCCCAATAAATTTCATTATTTTTTAAAAAAAGAGGGTAGAAAAGAAATTTTCCAAATACCTTAATATGTATAGTATTTCCATATATTCTTACAAAATGTTGTGTGAATTAATCTCCTATAATTAGTCTTTTGTGCTTGACAATTAATTTTTTAAGCATTCAACTAGCCATCTTATTAAAAATCAAAAACATATTTCTACTTCTATTTATTTCTGGATTTATTTTGCATATGAAAGGTACTCTGTGGGCCTTGGTAAAGATTTTCTCATATCTACAAAAGGCAATACTGACCAGATTAGTGGGGGGTGGGAGATCAGTCAATCGCCAGCATTACTGTGTTTAATATTTCACATTCTATCAAAAAATATTTGTATCATCTAAACATATCTTAAATGGTTAACATGTTTGTCCTCCCTTTATCTGAGTAATTACAGCCACCAAGAGTGAGATGAAACATGAATGTAAATTAATGAAATGAAAAAGAAGGGAATGGTAAAATAAATGTCCATATTTCTTGTAATGAAACACCATTTACATTTGCTCACTAATTAATTACTGAAACATGCATATAGAAAAAATACAGTCTATAGGATCCAATATATCTGAATACTAGTTTTGCCAAATCCTAAATAAATGGTGTTCAAGCAAGGTATTTCGAATCCTTGAATCTCAGTTTCTTCATCTATAAATAGGGATAATAATCCACATATCAGAGGGATACTATGAGAATTAAATGAAGAAATGTATTTATATTGCTTCTCCATTCATTATGTTATTGCTTCTCAAAATGACTGCCTCTAAGACTTTACCTTGGATCATGGAGAAGAAAAGCCTTCTATGACAACCAATATAATTTCCTATTAATTATGGAATGAGTTCTCCACGGTCCTTTTTGGAGCAATGATTAAAGAGGTACTTGATTCTTTACAAACACTGACTGAGCAGCAAGTCAGACGAGACTCATTGGTGGCCATATTTGCTGCCACATTGAGACAGCCTGAGTGAGAATGAAGCCAACATAATGGAAAGTAGACTTTTAAGATGGAGAGAGAGAGGACATCATTGGAGCTCACCTTCTTTTTTTTTTTTTTTAATTAAATCTTTATTGTTCAGATTATTACATTTGTTCCTCTTTTTTTCCCCCCATAACTCCCCTCCTCCCAGCTCCCGCCCCACCCTCCGCCCTCACTCCCCACCCACTGTCCTCTTCCATAGGTGCACGATTTTTGTCCAGTCTCTTCCCGCATCTCCCACACCCCTTTCCCCCCCAAGAATAGTCAGTCCATTCCCTTTCTATGTCCCTGATTCTATTATGATCACCAGATTATTTATTCACTTGATTCTTAGATTCACTTGTTGATAGATGCATATTTGTTGTTCATAATTTGTATCTTTACCTTTTTTTTTTCTTCTTCCTCTTCTTAAAGGATACCTTTCAGCATTTCCTATAATACTGGTTTGGTGGTGATGAACTCCTTTAGCTTTTCCTTATCTGTGAAGCTCTTTATCTGACCTTCCGTTCTGAATGATAGCTTTGCTGGATAAAGTAATCTTGGTTGTAGGTTCTTGGTATTCATCACTTTGAATATTTCTTGCCATTCCCTTCTGGCCTGCAAAGTTTCTGTTGAGAAATCAGCTGACAGTCGTATGGGTATTCCCTTGTAGGTAACTGGGTTTCTTTCTCTTGCTGCTTTTAAGATTCTCTCTTTGTCTTTTGCTCTTGGCATTTTAATTATGATGTGTCTTGGTGTGGTCCTCTTTGGATTCCTTTTGTTTGGGGTTCTCTGTGCTTCCTGGACCTGTAGGTCTATTTCTTTCACCAGGTGGGGGAAGTTTTCTGTCATTATTTCTTTAAATAGGTTTTCAATATCTTGCTCTCTCTCATCCTCTGGCACCCCTATAATTCTGATGTTGGTGCACTTGAAGCTGTCCCAGAGGCTCCTTACACTATCTTCATATTTTCGGATTCTTTTTTCATTTTGCTTTTCCAGTTGGGTGTTTTTTGCTTCTTCGCATTTCGAATCTTTGACTTGATTCTTGCGCTCCTCTGGTCTGCTGTTGGGTGTCTGTATAATATTCTTTCAGTCAGTGTATGCTTAATTTCTAGTTGGTTCTTTATCACAACATCGAGGGTCTCATTAGATTTCTTGAGGATCTCACTACATTTATCGGCGGTCTCACCAGTCTTTTCGAGGGCCTTACTAAGTTTATCGGCAGCTTCTAGACAGTTCTTAAGAGACCTTAAAAGTGTGGTTCTGAACTCAATATCCTCCATTGACAGTTTTGTCCTGTTTCTTTGTCTCCGAATTTTTTATGCTTTCTTGGTGCACCCCCTAGTGGTCTTTGTCCACAGTCTTGTTGCCTTTAAGCCTTGATTGTTGTCGGCAATACCGGGGGTGATTTGACCTCCAGGCTAACTGGTTATGAGAGTCTGCTGTGTCTGTAGTGGGAGGGCTTCTGTGCTGGATCTCTAGGGCGGTGCTAATCTAGCGTTTGCCTGAGGCTATCCGGCAAATGGTTCTGTGCAGGGCTTGGGCGGGGCGGGTCCCCGGGGATCTATGGGGATCTACAGGGCGGGCGGAACAAGCAGTTATGGCGACTCTCAGTTCCTTCCCCAGGGGCTCTGCCTCTCAGAGCCCCAGCAATGGCTGCAAACCTCGGAGAGAAAGCTGC